TTATGAAATGGAAAATTATTTTACTAATACTCCCCTCCATTTAGCTGTTCAGAATGGTAATGTTTATTATTTGTTCTCACTAAATAGGAACACAGTTTTATTTTTTTCATCGATCTGTGTTTTTTTTCAGGTCACAAGAATGTTGCTGAACTTCTCATCCGTAAAGGAGCCAATACTGGTATTAAAAATCAGATGAAAAACGTCTAGACGACGTTAAAACGGAGTGACGCTCTTGTGTGTGGATTTACCACTCAAAATGACTGATATCATTTTGAGTGACGCTTTGACGCTGTATTATCTCTGGGTGCGAAGTTCAAAAGTGTTTTTCGCATTCACTATTGTGAAAATTTATTCACAATAAAGAACAATATCGCGTCACGACTTTTGAATTTTGTCTTCAAGTCAAGCTTTAAAGCGTTTTGCCGTCCAAAAGTCATGACGCGATATTGTTCTTTATTGTAAATAAATTTTCACAATAGTGAATGCGAAAAACACTTTTGAACTTCGTACCCAGAGATAATACAGCGTCAAAGCGTCACTCAAAATGATATCAGTCATTTTGAGTGGTAAATCCACGCACAAGAGCGTCACTCCATTTTAACCTCGTCCAGAGGTTTTTCATCTGATAATTGTTTTACTATTATGCATCCATTCAATAAACCATTTGAGAATTGTAACATTGAAGAGAGTTTCGCAAGACATATGGAACAGTGGCGTAATATATTCTTAGAAGCAATGAATATCGTTCGCGAAACACTGAAATTAAACGCTGCAAATCGTCCATCGGCAAGAATCTTGCTAACGCAAAGAAATTGGTTCTCGAAAAACGACCCAATCGTCCAAAAGGCGCTCAAAACCATGGAAACTTCCACATGAACAGTTAGTTGTATTATCTCCTTGTTTTTTCTAGCCATGTAAAATTATAATCAAAAGCCAATATTGTAGTAACGCAGTGAATGAGTGAACAGTATGAGTGCTGGTAAACGACTGATTTATTGTACGATTCTTAATACTAATGAACAATAGCTGTCAGTGTCAGTGATGACAGATACTTATGCTACATCTCCCTTTTTCTAACTGTGTCCTTTGCCTCCCTTTTTTCCAAAAATATATGTATATGTTATTTATTTTCATTTACTAAATGTATTCTTAATCTCAATTCAAAGAAGGCAGGAAACAATATTCAAGAGAAATAATCTAAGCTAAATGAAAAAAAAATTGAATGAAAATTTTACTTCAAAAAACAAGATTTCAATAAATAACACCAATTAATAAGTTCGGCCACTCCGTGTGCATTTTCGATGAACGTGGGCTATCGGTGTTTGATTTGTTTTGTCTTGGTTCGTGTTTTCATTAAATATTCGAATGTGCCGTGTGTTCCGACGATAGTCTCGACCGTTAGATCGAACAACATATGACCGTGGTGTATCGTGTTTATCAACAACGTTCCCGTGTTGCCATTTGTCGTTGTTTCTGAATAAAACGCTTTGTTCATTTTTTAAGTCGAGGTTTCTCGGCTTGGCACATTTGTCGTAATATGATTTACAGATCTTTTGCTTTGCTTGTTGTTGTTTTTCGACGTCAATGCATAATTCGGGTCGAAATTTATCGATGTGCATTGGCAATTCAGTTCTCAAATTACGATTTTGAATTAGCTGAGCTGGCGAATATGACATGTTTTTGGTTGGTGTGGTGCGGTATGCGAGCAATGCTCTGAGAATATCTTCTTCATTCTCTGACTTCCTTAAAATATTTTTACAAATACCGACCGCTTTTTCAGCCATTCCGTTTGACTGTGGGAAATTAGGGCTGCTTGTAATGATTTCAATATCATGCTTTTTTGCGAATTGTTTGGTTTCATAAGAACCCATTGGCATATTATCTGCAATTATTATATGTGGGTAACCAAATGTAGCGAATAGCCTTAATAATTCTGTATTTACATGATGAGCAGTTTTGCCTTTCAATTTAACTAATTCTATCCACTTCGAATAGAAGTCAACTACGACAAGAAAACTCTTTGATTTAAAATCTAAAATGCCGCATGCAATTTTCTTGAACGGTTCATTCGGAATGTCATGTGGCAAGAGCGGCTCTTTTTGAATTTTCGGCGCATTCTCTTGACAAATAATGCAATTTGAAACTGTTTGCTCTATTTCATTGGAAATGTTTGGCCAGAATACTGAATTTTGGGCACGTTTGAGCGTTTTGTTTATGCCGAAGTGCGGCTTATGCAATTGGTGCAAAATTTCTTTTCTCATGGATTTTGGAATGATTATTCGTTGTTTATAGAACAGGATTTCGTCTTCGAGCAATATGTCGGACCTGAGTCTATAAAAATATCTCGTGGATGGATCGCATTTGTCTTTATTATTTGGCCATCCGAATTTGCAATATTCCTTGATTTGCTTTAAAATTTCATCATTGTTCGTCTCTTGCTGTAATTCGATTTTACGCGCGTCTGTCACGTTAATCGACAAGATCGACTCAGTAATTGATTGATCTTCCGAAACCTTTTCACTTTTGCTCATGTATCTCGATAGATAATCCGCTAAAACTATCGTTTTGCCAGGTGCATGTTCAAGAATTATGTCATAATTGAGTAATTTAAGTCTCATTCTCTGTAGTTTTGCTGACGCTATTTTGTGTATTTCTTTATTCATGATTCCAAGAAGGGGCTTGTGGTCGTTGACAATTCGCACTGTTCTGCCGTAAGTGTAGAAATGAAACTTTTGGCAGGCGAAAATAATTGACAACATTTCTTTTTCAATTTGAGAGTAATTTCTTTCAGAAGCGGTTAGGCTGCGTGACGCAAACGAAATTGGTTTGCCATCTTGAATCAAACCACATCCTAAGCCACCCTGTGACGCATCACATTGAATAATTAACTCTTTTGAAATGTCGAAAGGCACGAGAATTTCCGAATTAAGAATGCATTTTTTGATCTCATCGAACACTTTGTCATGTAACTCTGTTCAAAGGAAAAGAACATTTTTCTTTATCAATTCACGCAACGGAGCCGTTCGATCTGACAAATTAGGTATGAACGGAGTCATGAAATTCACAACTCCAAGAAATGTTTGTAAATCATTTTTGTTCTTTGGTCGTGTCATTTCAGCAATAGCTAAAAGACGTTCTGGATCAGGCTTGATTTGATTATATGAAAAAATGTGACCTAAATATTTCACTTCTTCTAATGCAATTTGTGCTTTGTTTATGTTGAAGCGTACATTTTTTTCTCTTGCGCGGTCCAAAACCTTTTTCAATACTTCATCGTGCTCTTTTCGTGTGCGACCCACTATTAAAATATCATCAAAATAAATCATAACATTTTCAATGTCTCCAAAGTTCTCAAAATTCAATTGTTGAAACACGCCAGGAGCGGTTTTTATCCCAAATGGCAATCTTAAGAATCTGTAATTTCCATAGGGAGTTGCGAAAGTGCAAAGTTTTTTCGATTCTTCATCTAATTTAACGTGCCAGTAACCATCTTTCAGGTCTAATACTGTGAAATATTTCATGCCATTTAATTGTGATGACACATCTTCAAAAGTTGGAATAAATGCGTGTTCATTGAAAATACTTTTATTTAATTCACCTGGATCGATGCATAATCGCAGTGATTTTTCAGCGTCTTTTTTCTCAACGGTGACTAAATGATTCACCCATTCACAATAACCGGTAGCCTTTTCGATTATTTTATTCGCAACCAATTCATCTAATTTCATTTTTAATCTGTGTCTAATTGCCAATGGTACTCTACGCGGTGCGTGAGCGATTGGTGTTGCATTTTTGTCAACGCTGATTTTGTATTCGCTATTGAAACATCCGAGGCCTTTAAACAAATCAGGATAACTTTTCAACACAGACTCTTTGTCAAGGCTAACTTGATCTAGTCATAATTTTTTAGTTTGATACGCGGTATTTGTGAATGTGCGCGATTCAACTGTTGGCGAGACTAAACCAAACTGAATGGATGATTTCAAACCGAGAATAGGCATTATGTCAATATCAACAACAGCTGTTTTCATATCACATGACTTTTTGTTAAATTTGCCAAGCAGTGAACACATACCGACTGGTTTCAATTTTTCCCCGCTGAAGGCTCGTAATTTGACATTCGTTCGATGCAATTCGATCTCCGTTCTCAACTGAAGGAACACACTCAGTGGAATCACATTGACTTGGGCACCGGTGTCAATTTTAAATGCAACCAATTGTCCTCCAATCCATATCTTCTCAATCCACGGATAGCTCACTTCATCGTCATCATCTTCAATGGCGTAAACCTTTTCAATTGATGAAATTAAAAATTCTTCATTATCACTAATTTCACAATT